ACACACACACACACAAACATCTAAATACACAATCAGAGATCAGAGATTCACACATTGAAATGTAAACACATTGGTGAACTTGGTGATGGTTTAGTGAATAAATACATATTGGCTCACGTACTAAATGTGTCCTTCTTGTCTCTTCCTGTCTCCTACTGTCATTTGTAACGTCTCTCTGTCCTTCTCCCTCACTGTCAGGAGAGGAGGATGATGCAGATGCATCCCTACATCCTGAACATCAATGAGGATGCTCAGCTGTCGGGCGTGGTCAAGCTTTTCATTCAGGAGGGTACAACTGTCTGAAGCTCTCTCTTTATATTGAAGATCACATTCTCTAGTTCTACCTTTTAGAGATAGCATGGTCTGACAGACCCATTGTTGCTGTTTTTAGGGCATTGGTTACTCATTAACACTGCTGTGTGTTCCAGGTGAATGGGACATCGGCCTGTGTGACTCTTCCCCAAGATCCATCTCTGTCAAGGGCTTAGGGTGAGTCTTCGTCACAACAAGACTGCACCAGGGAACAATAGAACATCACAAACCCAGTGCTATACAGTTACATGGTGTATAAAAGTGGATGTGATCTTACTGGCAATATGACCAAATGCATGCTGGGATAGGCTGCATGGCCTGTGAGTGTCGGCTTGTACAGAAGCTCAGTAATGTTTAGGTGTGAGTGTCGCTTATTAAAATGTTTTGTCTTTTTCTGTATCTTTGAGTTTATACACACATTTATGTTTGCACATGCCTGTGTGTGTTTTTTGTGTGTCAGGATCCAGGAGCGTCATGCTGTGTTCAGGAACGAACAACGCCGGGTAACACTGACCCCGCTCGCAGGGTCAAAGGTCATTATCAATGGCAATACTGTGTCCCAGACAACTGAGCTGCAGCACCTGGTGGGTCTCTCAGCACAAACACAGCACAAACTTTATGATACAAATGTGTGACATGTGTTAAACTTATACACAAAAAGAATTTCTCTCTCTGTCTTCTGTCTCCCTCTAGGACCGTCTCATTCTGGGTTCCAACTGTACCTATCTGTTCATTGGTTATCCTTCTGAGAGGGGCGGGGACGACTGGAGCCGCTATGACTACGACTACTTCCAGTCTGAGCTGGCTGCTGCTGAGGGCATCCACCTGGGTGAGTGGGAGAGGATCAATACCTGGGAGCTAAGGAAGTTTATTTTTGGAATAAAACTTGTTAGATATTATTTATCTGTCTGTGTTAGGTGAGTCGAGTGCTGGGTCCAGTCAGACAGACCCCAGTCTGCTGGCCGTCTTCTACGACTACATCAAACTGATGCCCATGGTGGCAGAGGCCAACCAGATGAGCCAGGAACTGAACAAGGTAGCAAGACATTTGTCTTTGGAGGTTTCTGGTTAATGTGTTCCTACTGGAGGCAATAATGTGTGTAAATCAAATAACAGATATATTTTAGTTTTTTATGGTCTCATTGTTATGCATTAACAATTAATAAACTCCTGCTTTGTATTGTCTGCCATGTTTGTAGGGTGTTGAGTTTCAGTTGGAGATCAAGAATCTGGCGCTGTCAGATTCAAAAGGCCACGACCTGGAGAAGGAGATTGTTGTCAGAGTCACCACTATGGGAAAAAAACAGGTTGCTCTATCTCTCTTTCTGTCTCTCATGTACAATAGCTTATACGCTTTTTTTTATAATTCCAATTTCAATTTAGGTATAGGTTTGGGTCTTAAATTTTTGTTTCTTTGTCTAAACTCCTTGCCCAGGTATGGATGTGGTCCAAGGTCAAGTTTGTGAACCGTAAATTCCTGATGGAAGAGGTCTACCAGCAGCATCAAATTGAGACGAGTGGAGAAAATGTAATTCAGTGGAAAGACCATCTCTTATGTTTTTCAAAATGTAATAAGAGACTATTTACAAATCAGCTGAAATGCAAAAAAATGTTTCAGTTTTTGCTCTCTACTTTTATGTAGACAACTAACTTCTTTTACCAACTGTAAATCAAACGTCTTGTCCAAAAAGAGTTAGAGTTAGATTAAAGAGTTTAATAATATATGAAAAGAGAATAGAGAGAAAACATTAAAATAAGTAAACGGGGCAGGAGAGGAGACTCATAACTTTATGATCATCTCACAGTGCTTTATTTTGAAATCATTCTCCACATGGAGGGATTGTAGCTTGATGGAACTGGAGCACAGTCAACATTAGCTAGTCCTACCATGATTAGTTAAGTTTATATTTCAGAGGAATAACTCTTTATATTATTATTCATATTATTATCATTATTCATATTTGAATCTGTCTGGTTCTTGCTGTCAGAGAGTAGAGGGGCTGTCTACAGCCGCGCTACCCAGAGATAAAGACCCCTTCTGGGATCCTGTTGAGCCTCTGCTTCTGGGCACTGCTCACCTTTGGCTTCAGTCTTTGGCCTTCCGCATCCCTCTGGAAGAGCAACTTGAGGTACACACACACACACACA